ACCAAACCTCATCCAACAATTGCTTGTATTTCGACAGGATTTCATGATAATTAACCATATCATACCCAACCTCATCCAACAATTGCTTATATTTCGACAGGATTTCATGATGGAGCTAACGTCTCACCAGACTAGTGTCGGTGGCGTCCTAGAGTACGGCAATCAATTGATTAGTGAAGGACTTGTCAGTGAGAAAGAAGAAAACGATATCCGTGATCAGATGATCTCGCTAAATGAACGCTGGGAAGCTCTCAGAGTGTCGGCCATGGAGAGACAAACATCGTAAGTGTATGAATTGTGCATTGTCTTGCAGCGCGTGTCTCTGTTCTCTGTAAGATAACATACAAGTAGACCATACGCTATTGTTCTCTGATGAAAATACCCAAACAAAAAAACGAGCATTTCTGTGTTTTTCGAGCGCACGAACGGCAAACAATGTCTCTTTTCTGTTACCCTGGTCCCAGAGGTTTTCTCTTCTTGTATAGATGTTTTTTGTTTAGTATTTATCGTATTTTTGACTTTCCTTCTTAAATTTAACGACGTAAGAAGGAAACCTCTGGTCAGGACCGTTGAGAATCTCACTTTCATGCCACCCTCTTCGGATCAGCGTTTGTGATTGGTGAAAATATTTAATCTTTAAAGCAGCAATATGATTGCCTGGAAAATATACCCCTGCAGGGCTCCTGACCCCTGGGGTGGTCATAAGTTATTCTTTCTTCTGATTGGTTGAAAAATATGACATAATTGACAGAAAGTCATAAAAGTCAATACAAAGGAGCAGAGTTCTTGGAAACCGATAATTCAAATCAAAAGACAGGAATCGCTGGCAACTAAAAGAATTAATGAGCGAAACTTGGAGCACTGAGTTTTATGATTTATTAATATTTTTTTCTAACTCAGGCTCCACGAAAAACTCATGAAGCTTCAGCAACAACAGATCGACCAGCTCGCTGATTGGTTGGATAAAGCCGAGGCTAGGATTGACAAAAGCAGCGGCATTGGTGCCGATATCGAAGCAGTCAGGAAACAAGTCGAAAACCATAAGGTTCGATATCAAAATCGATTTTCAAACCTCGAATTTCACTTGAACTGAACTCAGTGGAAATGAATTTAAAATATATTTTAAAATAGTCCCCTCGGTTTCCTGCGCCATCTTGAAAAGTAGCCGAGCCTTTACATCGAAGCGAGACGACCGTTTAGAGTGCAATGATAGATATCTGTAAATAACTGTTTGCGGGTGTGACAGAAGGTCACTCTATCATTGCACGCTCAACGGTCGTCTCGCTTCGATGCAAAGGCACGGCTACCTTTCAAGATGGCGCAGGGAACCGTGAAAAAGACTATTTCCGCGCTAGGACGAGTTATTAAAACTGAAAAAAATATTTATAAATATTATTATTTAACATTTTTATTTCCTTCTCTCTCTCCTACCCCCACAGTCGTTTCAAGAAGATCTCGAGAATCAGCAGCAAAGGGTCAACTCTCTGACACACATGGTAGTAGTGGTGGATGACGCAGCGGGAGAAAATGCCACCGCTGACCTAGAGGAACAGCTGGCTCAACTTGGTGATCGTTGGTCATCCGTATGCCGCTGGACAGAGCAGAGGTTTGTTATGATGTTGATATCCATGGTGATGATATTAGTATAGTGTGGTCCTTGTGACGTCTTGTCTGGTCTAGAGAGGTGTTTTATAGTGAAGACGAAAGTGTTGTAAGATGGCGAATGTCTTTTAAAAATTAATAAGGACGAAGTCACTATGCGAAATCAATGTTAGCTTCTGATAAGGTCGGATTAAACGGAGGATATTTTGCTTACAACCATCGAAGAGTTCATACACAAGAAATGCAAAAAGTCATATTTCTTGTATACAGAAGAAGTTGTGCCCTGTAATTCGACATTTAACGGTAATGCATGCTAATATTGAAAACGAAAATGTTGATACCAATGATGATAATAATCGTGAAGATAAGAACGTTAATGGCGACTCTATTATTTAAAAATGTTGCTACCAATGATGATAATAAAAGTGAATACCATAACGTTAATGGCGACTCTATTATTTAAAAATGTTGCCAGCAATGATGATAATAAAAGTGAATACCATAACGTTAATGGCGTATTTTTGTACGTTTTTAAAGATGGGTTCTTCTCCAAGAAGTTCTGAACAACTGGCAAGAATATCGCGACGAGGAACGCCGTCTATCAAAATGGCTGTCAGAGAAAGAGAATGAGGTTGATGTATTAAAACACGTCGACATGGGAGATCCAGAATCCATTGCGCATCACCTGCAAAAACTCCTGGTAAATCAAATGTTTGAAATTATCAATTGACACGCGAGGAACCATGAAATGCTGATATATATATCTTCTTGTATTCTGAGYGTGCGCAGTGCGTTTTCCCCAGTATCCTTACGCTAACTGTACTTCCTTTTCCAGGATTTAGAACAAGAAATGGAAGCTCAGCAAGCCACTTTCGGTACGTTCAACATGGCGGCTGAACGCGTGGCTGAGCATCTTGATGAAGACTCGCCAGGACTGGACAACATCCAGGATAAGATGGAGGAATTTAATGATCAGTGGAATAAGATAACTACTGAAGTTGGTAACAGAATCGCACTGGTTAGTTGAACAGAGGAATATGTAAATCCGTGAAACAAACTTAGCCTCAGTTGCAGACGATCTTTTGGCAAACTCAATGAGACGTCTGCAACGGAGGATAATGCAAACTCCGATTTCGTTAAAGTGTTAAATAAAAAAAAAGATGAGATGTTTGATTACTTGAAACAGTCAATGTTGGATCAAAGGAAAAAATCATTTGCTTAAGAATCTCTTGTAAAATGCGCGGCAATCGCAAAATTTATGTCTTCACTTTAAAAACAGATCGACATAAAAAGCTTTAACTTTGAATTACCTCTTTTGCTATCATTATAGAGTTTTAAGTCTATGAACTTTCGAGGCATTATTGATTGAGCTCAGACTTTCGAGTCATTGTTGATCGAGTTAAGACGTTCGAGTCATTATAGATCGACTTTAGGCTTTCGAGTCATTATTGATCGAGTTAATACTCACGAGTTATTATTATTTGTTTGTTATTCAGCTAAAAGGTGTAGAGTCCAAACTCCAACCATTCAAACTCGAGATCGACGAGAAGACTTATTGGTTGAACGAAACAGAAATGACTCTCAAGTCACCAAAGATGAATTTTGACAATGACAAGATGTCGAGTGATGAATTGTCAAGACAGTATTCAATATTAGAGGTACGAAAAAAATAATTGAAAAAAAAAATAACGAAAAATCATAAAATTTGGAAAATCATGAAATATGGAAAAATTGCTAAATATGGAAAAATCACGAAATATGGAAAAATCACGAAATATAGGAAAATTATGAAACGTTTAAAAAAATGAATGAAATATGAAAAAATGAACGGAAGTAGGCAAAAAATAACGGAATATAGAAAAGTATATAGAAATATGACAAAAAAGAACGAGACTGTTAAAGTAATTATTTGAACAAAATCAGCTAATGGTTTTCTGTATCCCCAGTCTCTCGACGGTGCCAGAAACCAGCGCAAACCGAGCGTCCTGGCCATCCAGAAAAAGGGAGACGAAATCATGGAGCAGATTCGTTCCCAGGGAACAATTCCAGTCTCGTTTGAACACAACCTCAAAACCTTCAATGAACGCTGGGAGACTGTGACTAAATTAATAGACGACAAAAAGCACAAGGCGTCCCTCGCGAGGCAGAGGCGAGAGGTTATGGATATAAATAGTAAAGTAGAGACGATTATAAAGGAAGTTGAACGGTTTATGGACATGTTGGGGATAATGCCTGATAATGAGTATGAGATCAAATCACAGTTGGATCAATGCAAGGTAAGTACGGGGATTATAGTTAAAGGTCGATGATCAGCCGGCATCCTTTGCGAGCTTTTGTTTATGTGGGAAAATAATAATACATTGTAATATAAAGAAAAACGTACCCTTTATTATCCCTTTATGCTCTATGAATGGAGATACTGTAAGATTCGATCTTAAAACTGASGGATGSAAACGGATTGCSARKGGATATTTAGAGTYACCTTYATTTTTCATGTATGAGAAATCATTGAATATCGGATGACCATGGCCCCAAAAAGACTATCATATTATTATTATACTTACATTTTAACATGCATTTGAGCAAAACTATGGACAAGTTTCTTGAAAACATATGCTGCTTTCTGTTCTCTTAGCACAAGATTGACGATCTTCACAGCAACGAGAGACATCTTATCAAACTCAAGGAACTTTCCAGAAATCTCTCCAAGGAGGACAGACAAACGCCAATATTTCAGATGACAGTCAAGCGACTCGACGACCGCTGGACAACCGTCTCGTCTAAAATCGAGGAACGTAAACGACAACTTACGTCATTACTAGAGTCCGGTCCCCCTCAAGAGTATCTGACGACCATGGATACTGTGTTATTGAGCATTAARAACGCTGAGACWTCGTTGGGTGGGGATTTTCAAATCACTGAAGTTGGTGGACTTGAGGACCAGATTAGAAGGAATAAGGTAATAAGGGCGAAATGCATAGGAATGGATGGATGAATGAATGATGAACTGAACGGATGAACAGGACTTTAAATTTGTGTTCTACAATCGTTGCTAAAATACTGTGAACCATATAATATGTCATCTTCGACCCAAAATGTTTCGCCCTTCTCACACTTAGYYCCCTTTCATCAGTGTTGGGTCTTGTTTTGGATGCTTGTGTACTATGGTAACATGATCAATGACAACATTGCATTTAGGGGGTCAGGGGGGATGAAATTGTCTGTTGGTGTTACTTAACATAAGGAAATACACTTGAATTGTTCCAGGATTTAGGCAACGAATGTGATTTAGCCTCGAACTGTATATGCTATTTATTGCTCTGCGTCATTGAACGTCAGTGGGAAAAATGTTTGTTTAAGAAGATCGATGTAGGAGATTGATTTTCTTTTTCAAAATGAAGATTGATGCAAAGTATCGAATAACGATTATGAATATTCTTTACAGCAAATTCAAACCACGCTACAAGAGCAGAAAAGAAACATCGACTACCTCAACAGCACCTCAGACAAATTCATGAAGTCACTRCCTCGWCAGAAACTCGAGCARCTGAGAGCCAAACTTACTGACGTCAACAATAAATGGAAAGATGTTATCATGGTGATAGAAAAACGCCAAACGCTTGCGCAGAAAGCTATCAACCAAAACAACAAGTTCGCTGATGAATTAAAGGGTCTGAACAAATGGATTGCTGAGGTGAACGATTTTTTGAATGACCAGGAACCGGCTGCGGGTGATCCCGAAACCCTCGAGGCACAGTTGGATCAGAGTGAGGTATGTCTGGGCTTCCTGTGGTGTAAAAGGAATGTTGAAGCTTGGGATGCGCGGCAGTATTAGTGTGAGCACTGTGTTGAGGGCCCTTAGTCGGGCCCCATTCGGAAAACCTTCGGTATGCATTCGGAGTCCGAGTTTATTCCCATTGATAGTATAGAATGATTGTAGTACAGTGTAAGCAGTGTGTTGAGAACCTACACTCGGGTCCCATTCGGACACCCTCGGCATTCCTTCTGAGTTCGTCCCGAGTTCGTCCCGAGTTCGTCCCGAAGCGTCCACCGCCTCTTTTACTGTCGATAGAAAATAACTAACGAATCTTGTTTAACTCGTATAGGCACTCCAAAGTGACATCACAAAGCTGCAACGCAAACTCGATTCGCTTAATGAGACCGCGACCTACATGTTGGCTAAAGCCACGCCTACCTACGCCCAGCGGCTTCACACACAACAAGATGACGTGACAAACCGATGGGACGCGTTAGTACGTCACGCACACCGTGTCAAAGACAATCTCCTGGCTGCTTTGGAGAAATAYCAAAAACTTAAYCATGATATGAARGARATGAGTCACTGGATCACACAGACTGAGAGATCTATTGCTGATGATGATAGGGATATTGCTAGCGGAGAGATTACTAAAGAGAAGATAGACCATTATAAGGTGATGATGGTGGCGATAATGATGATAATGATGGTGGTGATGATGATAGCCATAATGATGGTGATGCTGATGCTCATGGTGATGGTGATGCTAATGATGCTGATGCTAATGATACTGATGATGATGATGACCATGATGATGATGATGACAATAATGATGATGATGATAAAAACACACGGCCAGACCATTTTGCATGTGTCATTTCTTGACTTTAGTGATCATGTTCTTTTCAGGATTTACAGCAAGACGTTTCAAAGCGTGCTCCCGTTGTGGTACGCATCAACACCACAGCCAATCAGCTTGCTGATCACACCAAACAAGGCTCCGCTAAACCACTTGTAGAAAGYCTAAAGAAGCTKAACAGTGATTGGTCCAGRCTTAAAAAYAAGGTATGATTTGATTGGTCAAKTTGGGGATCCATCATTAAAGTCATTARATTGTGTTTGTTTGTGTTGTAGGTCGCTCAGAGGCAGCATGAATTTAAGATCATTCAATCGGAGATGGAGCAATTCCACATGACCATCCAAAGAGACA